CACTGTGCTTGGGTCTCTGGCGTCACCATCACCAAACACCTACTGGATGTAAGTGCCCAGCAGGGAAATGAAAGAGTAGAGAAACAAAAGTATGTAGTGAAAATTAAAAATTTTCCAGGTGTTATTGTTTTTATTAAACATTTTTTTCTTTATTGATTTTTAGAGAGAGAAGAAGGGAGAGGAAGAGAGAGATAAAAACATCTATAAGAGAGAACATCCACTGGCGGCCTTCTGCATGCCCCCCACTGGGGATCGGGCCCACAACCTGGGCACGTGTCCTGACTGGGAATTGAACCAGTGACCTCTTGGTGCATGGGTTGACGCTCAACCACTGAGCCACACCAGCCAGGCAAGAGCAGCAATTTTCAACCTGGGTGCCACAAAAAAAATAAAATAAAACGTGCAACACCTGACAATTCAGTCAGAGGCACTGACCTCTTTCCCTTAGATTGTCAAATTAAAAAATGACAACAGCCCTGGCCGGTTTGGCTCAGCGGTTAGAGCGTCGGCCTGCGGTCCTGAGAGACCCAGGTTCGGTTCCCGCTAAGGGCACGTACCTCGGTTGCAGTTTGTCCCCGGCCCTGGTTGGGTCATGCAGGTGGCAGCCACTCGATGTGTTCCTTTCACATCGATGTTTCTCTCTCTCTCTGTTCCTCTCTCTCCCTCCCACTCTACCTGAACAAAAAATGGAAAAATGTCCTCGGATGAGGATAAAAAAAAAAAAAAAAAAAAAAAAAAAAAAATGACAACAGCCAACACAACAATAACCATCTGGGCAAATGGATCAAAATTATACCTATTTTTTTGTCAGATCAGCAAAACATATATTTTTTGGTGTGCTGCAGAATTTTAGTAATTAGTTTATGTGTGCCATATGAGATGAAAATGGTTGAAAATTGCTGATCTAAAGCATTAAAAATTTAGGTGTCTACCCTTGAAGATACATCTTAAGGATGATAAAAGAGGGATGAGTGGAAGTAAGGAAATTAACAAAATAGAGTCCTGTCATACGGGATCAATGTTTACTTGATGGTTGTAGCCTCCCGGATATGTTAGCCAAGATTTTTAGACTTGGATCAACATTAGAGACCTTCATCATGAGCCAGAGCCAGGCTTTGCCTTTATAGTAACATCACCTCAGAGGTGGTCTCCATTTTGCCAGCAGCTGCAGAAATGCAACTTGCACTGAGTTTCCCGCCACTGCCCCTCAAGTTGGGAACAGCATTCTACGCAAGCCAACCCCTGTCCTGTGTAAAATAAAATCTGACAGTGACTGCTCTGCAGAGCAGCAGGTCAGAGTTTCACTGTGGAAATGAATAGGGAGAGGAACTAGATTCCAAAAACATTTATGCTTTCAAGCACTCGACTATTACAACTCCAATTAGAATTTCTTAGCAAAGTCTTACTATGCCAGGTCCTTTATAAGATCGAAAAGCTTATAATCCACCCCCCAAAAAGAGTGATGTGAGCTAAAATGGTATATCTGTATGTCTCAGGCAAAGGTGATATTTGAACTATTTAGCAACCAGTACAGCAAAGAACTTTGACCAATAAGAAGAGAACTGAAGTTGCTGCCTCTAGGGCTCTCACAGGGCTCTGGATGCCCCCGCTCTGCCAGGCATTAACATTTACATCGCTGAAGTGGGAGAGCGGCCAGGGATATCTTGGGAGAGACAGGAGTAATGGCACATTGAAGGGACTCTGGAGGGGGGATTATTTACCTTAGAGTCATGGTTATTTACCACATGGAATGGAAGTATTTCAATATTTTAGCAAGCAGAATTGTTATGTACCAACTTAATCTCAGATCTGTCCTTAGTGGAACCAGGCACATTTATGATAGTATCTCTGAATGGTTCTTGCAAAATCCCAGGCTCCCTTATCTCAATCTAACATAAGGCTACGTTGAAAACAATGGGTGTAATTCATCAATAATTTTCCTTCATCACAGCAAATAAACACAAGTAAATGGAGGTCATAGTGATCAGTAGTACATGTTCCAAGGAGCATGGATCCTTCTAAGTTTTGTTCCTGTTCTCTTCTGGGAGTAATATCCTAGCCTCAGCTCATAATATGTCAGCACAGACTATAATATTCCCCCTGCATCCAGGAAGAGTCTCACTAAATTCATCAACTCACCGAATATTTACAGACTGCCTGCAACTGGAAGCAATGGTAACTTAGAGTTTTGGGGGCCCTGATTCAAACTTTCAGCTCCTATGATTTGATCATTGGAAAATGAACACTCAGCACCGGTAACATCAGGAGTCATTTGTATTGGAGCTGAGAGTCTAAGGAAATAGATGGCATGGTATGGCCTAGCTTTTCTCTGGACATACGTACCAAGAGATGTTGGGCAAAATGTTTGTGAGCACTGATGTGCAAGTTGGATGGTTTAGGTGATGTAAACATTTTTGATGCCTTGGTTTGTAGGATTTAAATGTTCTCTGTGGAATGTACTTGGATATAGCCTATCTTTTTGAGGGTGTTTGATCCTCATTGGCAGTGCTGCTGATGCCTTTGTGTAAACTACAAAATGGTGCCCTATTGCCCTGGCCAGTGTGGGTCAGTGGTTAGGGCATTGGCCTGTGTACTGAAGGGTCGAGAGTTTGATTCCTGGTCAAGGGCATGTACCTGGGTTGCAGGTGCGATCTCTGGTTCTGGTCGAGGTGTGTGTGGAAAGCAACCAATTGATATGTCTCAAATTGATGTTTTTCTCTTCCTCCTTTTTCCTCCCTCCCTTCCAGGAAAAAATATCCTTTGGTGAGGATTAACAACAACAACAACAAAAAGGTGCCCTATCATTTCATGGTCCTTTTAGCTGGACCAATTTGTGTAGCCATACTCTGCTCTTATAGGGTGCGGCCATTGTTTTATGAATTTCTATGCCTTCCCAGAGCTGGTAGCATGGTAGTAGCATCCCTCAGGCATGTGGAAAAACTGCTTCCTTGGCTGTCCATGACCCTGAACAATAGGAGGAGTGCATTTAACTATGCTTGATACCAGGGGAGTTTTTGTGTACTTGGGAGTTCGAGGAAGATCATTGCCTTGGGGGAGTGGTCAGACATGCTGTGTTCTCCTACTATGTGTGACCTTTGTTAGGTCACATCCTCTTCAGATGTAATTTCTTTGTGGGAATTTGATGGTTAGGGGATTCATAATCAAGTAATCAATGTCCCCTGGTGTTCCTTCCATGTAACAGTGGATGGCTTGAGCTATTTCCATATTTACACATTTCATAAATATCAGGCAATGGTCCAGATGTTCATATGTGTTATTACTTAATAAAATGTGGTTTGTTAGACAACATTTTGCAAGCCATGAGCCCCTGTGGGAGACATCATCAAAGGAACACTTGGAAGGAACAGATCAGTGCTACACGAACAATATGATCTGCAGCTCAGAGCTTCTGTATCTGACCTAGGACCTGAGGAACAGGGATGAAAATCACTGTCAAAGGCATAAGGAAAAGTGACATGCATCAAAAACAAAATCCACTTTATTATCATTTGAACTTAACATTTTACTATCAAATGATAATGCTATTATTTAAATGTCAAAATGTGGTCCAGGGCCAGCAACATCTGCATCACCTGGAGTTGGTCACAGAGCAAGTCCTCAGGCCCCATGTCAGACCTTCTGAATCAGGAACTCGGGGAGGGCTGGACAATCCATGTTTTTACAAGCACTCTGGGAAATTTGTCCTCTAAAGTTTGAGAAGCACGGAAGCTTTATAGCCTCTTAAAGTTTCTTTATTAGTGGCATGTCACTCAGTTCTCATCATCTCCCCATGTGTCACTTGGGCAACTACTTTTCTCTCATTTGATGAGTAGTGGGCACTTAGATCATTCAAATAATCCAGGGTCATATAGTCAGTTTTATATGTTCATTATTTATCTCTTGGCATGTTTGTTATATGGCATAGAAACATTACATCAGTTTCTCCTCCACTAAAGCTGATGCAATTTTACTACCTATTTTTGGAAGAAAGATTATTACCTATATTCTGTCATGTTCTCTAAAACAAGTGGCTAGAGTAATCTATCCAATTCTTCATTTATTCGCTTAGTTTTTGATAGCTTGCTTGAAAGGTTGTGAGAAAACTGCTTATACTTGGGATGTCTAGCATATGTATTTTTTAAAGTTTTAAAAGACAACATGAATGGTGGAATACACCTTTAGTGAAAACTTTAAAGATAAAATTTAAGAAGTTTAAAAGTTAAAGATATTATATGTAATATATAACATTATCTATCTATCTATCATCTATCTATCTATCTATCTATCTATCTATCTATCTATCTATCATCTATCTATCATCTATCTATCTGGCTATCTATCTGGCTATTTAAGGAATTGCCTCTACATTGATGGACGCTGGCAAGTCCAACATCTTTCTGGTAAGCTGGTGGGATGGAGACCCAGAGATGAGTTGATGTTTGCAGTTTGAGTCTGAGAAAGCCTGCCAGCAGAATTCCCTCCTCCTCAGGGAAGGTCAGTCTTTTCCTTAAGGCCTTTGATTGTTTGGACAAGGCCCATCCACATGTGAAGAGTAATCTGCCTTACTCAAAGTCTACCGATTTAAGAGTTAATTTCATCTAAAAAGTACTTCACAGTAGCATCCAGACATATTTGAGTCAATGTCTGGCTACCATGGCTTAGCCAAGTCGACACAAAATTAACCATCACAAAGATATTACCTTTAATGAAGTGTACATTTCATTTTATTTATGAACTATGTTTTATCTGATTCCCTAAGGTTGGATGTTCAGATTGCTCCCGATTGTTTTTTACCTTACGTACGGCACACCTGTGGCTAGTTGACTCATTTTTGTCTTCATCACCAATTCTCAGAGGGTGGACTCAAAGACGCATATTTCTAATTTTTTAAAGATTTGACTTATTTTTGCTGTGTGGATTCTTTCCCCGTAAAACGACAGCAGGAGGCTTGGGAGCGGGAAAACGCCAGGCTCGCCTTGATCGTCTTCTTTCTTTCTCAGCCTGCAGGTCGCTGGGAACCGGCATGATGCTGAGTTCCTGGGCCACCTCCTCCATCGAAGAAGTGGCGGAGGCCGGTCGCGAGGCACTCCGCTGGCTGCAGCTGTACATCTACAAGGACCGTGAAGTCACCGAGCAGCTGGTGCGGCGGGCCGAACGAACGGGCTACAAGGCCATTTTTGTCACAGTGGATACCCCTTACCTGGGCAACCGCTTCGACGATGTGCGTAACAGGTTCAAGCTGCCACCCCAGCTCAGGTAACCATGGCTCTCTGGTCGCCTGGGCCCCAGGTGGTTTTTGAATTCTCTTTGCTCTTGTCATGAGTCAGCTCCAAAGGTCTTCTCCAGTTTCCAAGTGAGTGGCCTGGGGAATTAGTTCTTAACAGAACATTGGTCCCAAAGTATGGTTGAAAGGGATCTTGTCTGGGAATGACAGGGTCTGGATTCTAGAGATAGTGTCATTGTGAAGTAGCCACATAACTTCCAGCAAATCACACCCCTTTTGTGGTGTCACGTACTTGAGCTATAAAAGTGGGATGGGAAATGCCCATATACTTATAAAAGTCAAATAAATGTATGCACCAGAGTGCAGTAAGGACATTAGGAAGTATTATTTGCCACATAGATAGAAGATACTTAATATAACCCAGGCAACAGTTTTATTGTGATCCCAATACCCTAGTTCTTTGTTGAAGTCAGAGTCACCTATTAATTTTATTTTTCATTGTGTTTGGGACAACTATGGCTAGAAGACTGAAAAAAGCTTAGAGTGGAGAAAAAAGAAGCCACATGCTTGATCCCTCATCAACTACTTCTTTGAGCAATATCCCTCTTTTAAAGTTGATTGATTGATTTGAGAGAGAAATATTGATTTGTTGTTCTACTCATTTATGCATTCATTGGTTGACTCTTGCATGAGCCTTGACTGAGGATTGAACCCTCAACCTTGGTGTATCAGGATTTCACTCTAACCAGCTGAGCTACCTGGCCAGGGCCACAACATCCCTCTTTTTAATTGTAGATGAAGATGAAGTCATTTATTCACTGGTTCATTCACTCACTCACTCACTCACTCACTCATTTTAGCATAAACAATGGTATAGTAATCTATAATTGAACAATGATGGTTTCATTAAGTCAGTCAACTTGTCCATTAGCAGGGAATTATCCTTATTTCTGTGATAATTTAGAATTAGAGTCATCTTTATTAAAGTTGGGAATTCAGTGGAGTTCACTAAGAAAGACCCCAACTTCCCTAAGCTACAGACCCCTTTCCCTTTTTGTTTTTTCCTTCCCCCAGTTCCCACCAAAATTGGCTCTATGTGTTTTTCATACCAGTGTGCGACAACCTTCAGGGCAAAACACATTGGAACAGGAATCAAAACCTTAGTTCTAAGGGGAGACATTTGGATGATGGGATTTCAAAGCCGACACGGGAGTATGTGAAAAGGTGAGGGATGCCTTTTTGGATCCTGGATCTCATTTTACATGGACTGTTGCTTATTCTGTCTACATTTAACATTAATCTTTCTAAAACATCCCAAACCTGGAAGGTTAAAAAATTAAATTGGCATTCCATATAAGGACAAAAAAATTGTTGGCAGCCGGGACTCCATATATTTTATAGAATAGGATGTGTCGAAACCAGCACGTAAGTCCATAGACAGTCCTGTGTGTCACATAACTGGCTGAGTATGTACCTATTTGAGTATAAACTACTGTGCATCAAGTCTTGCTGTTGAGCCATATGTAAATTAGCCGCTATGATAGTATCTACCTCCAGGAGGCTGTAGGAAATTATTCCTGCATGTGGTGGCTTCTGTGGCCAATGACAGAAAGGGAAAGTGCTCTCCCGTTCAGACCTGCTGTCTGTGTCCCAGACACAGGGTTACTCAAATACCCTGTCTTTCTAAGAAAACAAAAGCTAAAGGTCCCTGACATATTCCTGCTTTTTGCCAAATTCATCAGAAAGTAAAGGTCTTCCAATTTCCCTCGTAGGAGATCTGTATTCATATTATTTCTCTATTTTGATTACCTTGTTTTTTAGACTTTCTAAAATTAGTGTCTCACCCTAGGCTTCTGACAGGAAATATTCCTCATTATTTTCCTTTAGCCATTTCAAAAGGAGTTTGCTATTTTTCCCCCCTCCTGTTGGTACTACTAACAACAACAATAATAACAGTAGGGCTGTTTTTGCAGCTTAAGGAGCACTTTTTTTCTCTGGATAACAAAAGGTGTTCACCGTGGCATGTGCTTAGACGCGGAGATGACACTGTTGTTGCTTCTGGCTGGTGTGTCTCGCTCCTTCTGCGCCAGGGCCACTCCGTCAGGAGTAGGATTTGCATTTTCCCCCCTTTCCTTTGCTCCCGGGCTCCCACCCAGATGACCCGCAAGACCGTGAGACAAAGGCTCTTTTCAGCTGTCCATGTGCACAGGAGTGGCCAGGGCTCCGCAGCTTGTCACATCTCCTGTCTGAAGATGATCAAACAATGAGCAATACGTCCAGATTACTGGGAACACAGGACACACCCCACAGCCTGAGTGCCTGCTGGCCTTGTTCGTCCCGTCCCGGGGGGGGGGGGTTGGCTGCAGGGCGGACCGGCACCTCTGCTCGGCTTCCCCGTGGCCCACATTCAGCAGTTGAAGGCAGAGCACACTTAGGCGAAGCCTGGGCTTCCGCCTGAGGCCACATACAACCGAAACGCTCATCTGTTATAGCCTGATATGAAATCAGGTTTCTTTCCGCAGCTGACCTGACTCATAGGAGGTGAAGCCGGGCTTTTCAGAAGTGAGGTTTGGCAGGCGAGGGAGGCAGGAAATCCAGAGGAGAATGAGTCTCTAAAGCGGTGGCTCCTTCCAGTCCTTGCTACTTCCTCTGCCGCAGTGGGGGAGGGTTCTGACTCCTGACATCTGGGACCAGCCAGAGTTCAGGAGTTTGGTAGTCTCTGCTTGGTCTATATGCAAAACACATGTATGTGTGTACTTTCGAAACGGTACAGAGGTTCCTGAAACAGGGCGAGTGGAGAGTATACTTATCTGCTCCTGGAAGAAGCAAGGAATGAAGCCGGTTCACTAGGCTGATTCCAGAGGCTTGGAGTCAGGGCTTTCTCGCCCGGTACCCCATGGGGACAGTTCATTGCCCTGGGTAAAGATCTGACTCCTGGGTGTAGTGCCAGGGCAGATGAAAGAGAAGAAAAGTAACTTTCATCATCGACTAAGTTCAAGGTAAAGCATGATACCTACCCTTTCGGTGCTTTGTCTGGGGACACAGTTCCTTAAACCCTAAAATGATTTATTAATCACAACAGCCAGAACAGATCACACACACACAAAGGTCAAACTACCATTGTCTTCCCAGGCCTCTCACAATAAAAGTGACCTGTGAGGCCTGACATGAGCGGACCCCCATTACTTCTCTGACCTCACCTCCCAGCATCCTTCTCTTCATTCCTCCCAGCCACATGCCAGGCTACAGCCTAAGAACTGATTCTTCCCTTTCCTGGAATGCTCTTCCCCCAAATCAATGCGCTGCTAACTTCTTCACTTAAAAAAAATGTTTTTATATCAGGGATGGGTCTACATGTCTTCCTATTGGGAAACCAAATAAAAATAAACAGCAGAGATCACAATGGAGACACAATATGTGTGGGGACCATGGAGAGGTTTTGAGGGGAGACATATTTGTAAAGGTGATCTTGGTACATGGCCCAATAGCTTCTGAATTTGAGGGCTAGAAAAATATTCACATTAGAACTGTTGAACAGAATAAAGACCTTCCAAAAATGTTCATGTCCTAATCCCTGCAACCTGTGAATATGTTACTTTACCTGGCAAAATAGACTTGGAGATGGGGAGAGTATCCTGGATTAGCTCCGATTAAATGTAGTTAAAGGTCTTTATAAGACGTCGCTGTCAGAGTGGGAGAAGCAGAGGTGGTGATGGAAGCAGATGTCAGAGGGACGTCTTCGGCAGGCGGGAATGTAGGTGGTCTCGAGAGGCTGGACTGCGCAAAGAAACGGATTCTCCCCTAGAGCCCCCGGAAGGAAAAGAGCCCTATCCACACCTTGCGTGTAGTCCAGTGAGACTCATTTTAGACTTCTGACCTCTGTGACTGTAATATAATAAATCTGTGTCATTGTAAAGCCTCTAGGTTTGTGGTCCTTTGTTACAGCAGCAACAAGAAGCATACACAGTAGCACAGATCTGCTAATTTCCTCCACCAGGTAGCTTCTCAGTGAGGCGAAGTTTGATGACCATCTTTTAATTTTCAAGTTAAACTCTACCAGCTCACTTACCTCTTATTCTGCTCTGCTTTTTTTCCCCCTTTCTTTATTTAATTTATTTTTTTTAATACTCACCCAAGGATATGTTTTTGTTTTTTTTTTAAATTGATTTTTAGAGAATAAGGAAGGGAGAGAGAGAGAGAACCTTCAACGTGAGAGAGAAACATTGACCAGTTGCCTCTCATTCACACCCCAACTGGGGATCAAACCCACATCCTAGGCATGTGACCTGACCGGGAATTGAACTCATAACCCTTTGGTGCATGGGCTGATGCTCTAACTACTGAACCATACTGGCTAGGGCTTTTCTTTATTTTTTTATAGCACTTATGATCTAACTTGCTCCATAAATTACTTATTGATTGTATTTATTATTTACTTGCTGTGTCTTCTTGCTAGAATCTAAACCCTATGTGGCCAGGGATTTTTGACTGTTTTATTTACTGGTATACCCTATACATCAAAAACACTGGCACATAGTAGGTGCTCAACAAGTCATGTAGAATCAATAAATAGAACTGCATTAGATCATAAGAGATTTCCCAGTAAAACATGACTAGTAGGAAGTTGAACAAAAATTTGAGCTCAAACATTAAGTCCATTTCTTCAGCCTTTTTTCTAACTGACCAGCCACATTGAGGAAGAAATTAACAGAGCTATGTTCTTAATATAAGTGTATTCTTAACCACAGAATCAAAGGCTGGTGGCCCAATGTTTTATGAATCTCCCTGTCTCTCATATTGTGTTGATATCATGGGCTCCACTGATTGTGATTTTTCATGTTGTTTCCCACTCTGAGGACATGTAGCTTTATCTTTAATGTCATATTATCAATACTTAAAATAATATTATATATGTCTCCATAATACTACCAGTTTTGCTATTGGTGATTTAATAATGTTTAACTTTCTTTTAGTAGTTGTTACTGTTTTTATGATGCTAACTTACTAAAAGCTAAAATAATTTCTATATTAGATTAAAAAGTATATTTGAGGAACATTCAAGGCACAACGAGTTCCTTACAAAGAAGAAATTTTATCCCTTGCCTTTGGGTCATTAAATAGATTGGGATTCGGAGAATTAAGTCATAAGTAATCATGTTATTATTTTGATGTTGCCCCCTTCCTTCCTTACGAAATGGAATACTTTGGTTATCAGAAGCCGCTTTAAGTGTTTCTTGTGTATATGTCATAATTCAAATAAAAATAGCATTCATGGAGGTTTCCTTCGGAGCCATTGGTAAAACACTCCATCGCGGGTCTCTGTCAAGATATCTGAAAACTTTTTCTTGGCTTCTGGCTTTGAACAACGTTTGAGAGTTAACAACAAGGCTTCATTGTGCACTGAAATTTCTGTAAGGCAACATTCATTCAAGTGTTGATCTGCATTTCACCGTCCAAGAATAACAACAGTTATTTATATAATTTTATCCATGTTTCTGTTTTTTCCTATCCATTTCACCCTTCACCCCGCCCCTGCTGAAACACTGCAGCTTGTCTGGGAGGGGGGTGGGGTCTGTGCAGAGTATATACACATACAGATGTTTTTCTTATTTTTCCCCTTTGGTCTTGCTATGGAAGAGACAGACCAGACCTTTTTCTTATTAACAATATTACTTAAAAGTTTGGAATTTAATATCACTTACTATCATTTATAAGTAATGGAATAGCTCTCCATAATATGGATATATTTATTGACCAGAAGATTAGCTTAATTCAAATTAGGATGACAATGGAAGACCAAAGTCAGTGATAAAATGTACAACTTAAGTGGTCTGATAAAAAAGTATTGCAGCTAAGATCTGTACCAAATCAATGTTCTCTCTTATCGATGTTTCTCTCTCTCTCCCTCTCCCTTACTCTCACTCTCAAATCAATAAAGAAAAAAAAAAAAAAAAGCCGGGCTGGTGTGGCTCAGTGGTTGAGTGTTGTCCCGTGCACCAAGAGGTCGCCAGTTCGATTCCAGTCAGGGCACATGCCCAGGTTGTGGGCCAATAGGGACATGTAGGAGGCAGACAGTCGATGTTCTCTCTCATCGATGTTTCTCTCTCTCTTTCCCTCTCCCTTCCTCTCATTCTAAAATCAATACAGAGAAAAATAATTTTTTTGGTACATGCCCCTAGCGGGAACTGAATCCGGGACTCTCAGGTCCACAGGCCAATACGCCAACCGCTGAGCCAAATCGGCCAGGGCAAGAGAAAAAAAAATTTTAAATCCATACCAAAGCTCAACAAATAGATGGGTACTAGTATGACTCTCATGGAACTGGAGTTTTCTGTGATCTGTAAGGGTCTCTCTCCTAAGTCCATGAAACTGTAGGGCTTACTATTTAATTCTTATTGTGAAACTTTGTCACTAGCTTGAATAGAGTTATATGGGACACGAGTGTTCTTGTCCTATAATAATATATGCCACCCAAGCTACCCAATCAATTATTTTAGCTGAAAGTACACTAAAATGTAAAAAGTGAAACTTAGTTTTATATTAAAGGAAATCTTATGAGCCTCTTAAAAATAATTTTATAATAGTATACCTATGTAATTCTAGGTTTATATAAAATTGTTATAGTTATGGCTGCAAGATACTTCCTATATTCAATAGCAGGGCTAGTGGAAGGGAAGAAAGAGCTATGACTAAGTCAGAGATCAGCAAGGCGAATCCAGGTATTGTTATCATTCAAAGACAGCCTTCCAGAGGAATGAGGTTTGCAGTTGGATTTGGGATTGTAGGCAGCGAAGTCACGTGGATGGTGTCATTGGGTGTCCAGATTTCTGTGCACCCAGTTGATGGTCAGAAGTGCAGTGAGAAAAGACTTTGAACCCAGTTTGGAGAACTGTCAAAATCTAGTCAGTATATCAGGACCTTAGACCAAGAGGTTCAGAGCGAGTCAGCAGCAGAGTCTTACAGGTAAGTTAGAGAAGTGCTAGTCAAAGCCAAGTTAACAAAATTAAATGTAGGATAAGGCAGCAACTCCATGGAGCTGTGTCACAGTTTGAGTTCCTCCAGGAGCAGACTGGGAGCCAGTGGTTTAAGTACTAGTGGTTCCTTCAGTGGGTGAAAGGAATATTGGTAGAGGAGTGGGGAGCTGGTACACGGGAGGGAAAGCAGTGAGCAATAGTCACATTATTAAGATAGCTACAACTGTGGGGGAAAAAAGCTTAATATGGATGGGAGATTCTGGGATGTCATGTAGAAGATATCTTAGGGTTAGTCTGCCTACGGGTGAGGGGGCTGGGTATTTATACGTAATATACATCACACTGCAAGTCTGCTATGTGGATGGTGAGTCATACTTCAGGAGTAAGAGAAGCTACATGTATTAGTCAGATTCTCCAGAGAAACAGAACTAATGTGATAGACATATGTATGTGTGTGTGTGTGTGTATGTGTGTGTGTGTATACAGTATTACTTGAATTGTATAGTATGTGCATGATATATTAATGGAGTTATTTTTTAAAAATAATCACACACAAAAATAGCAGCCACAGAAGCCCAATGGGCTGCCAGGAAGAAGGGGAGAGAGATTATGAGAAATTGGCTCACAGGATCATTTAGGCTGAGAAGTCCCATTGTCTGCTGTCTACAAGCTGGAGGCCCAGGAAAACCAGTGTAGTTTAGTCTCAACCTGGCGGCCTGAGAACCAGGGGACCTGTAGCAAAAGTCCTGGTCTGAGTCTGAAGGCATGACAACTAGTAGCTCTGATGTCTGAAAGCTGGAGACAAGCGATGTCCCAGTTCACGCAGAGAGAACACGTTTGTCCTTCCCTCACCTTTTTGCTCCATCTGGGCCCTCCACAGATTGGATGATGGGGTGATCCTTTCTACTGGGTCTACCAATTCAAATGCTACTCTTAGCCAGAAACATCCTCAAAGAAAAGCTCAGAAATATTTTACCAGCTACCTAGGCATTCTTTAGCCCAGCCAAGTGGACACGCACACTTTACCACAGGCAAATCAATGAAGGGAAGCTCATGCCCTGATCAGGACTGTCTGAAGATTGAGTAGTTTGAGTCAGCAGGCAGAGCACACAATGAAAGGAGGAGGGGAAGCATGAGCCGAGTACTCAGGTGCTGAGGAACACCCCGCCTCTCCCTGGCCCATCTCCACCTCAACGGCAGGCAGGAAAGAGTGTGCGGGGCAACACACAAAAGGTGTCAACTCGAGTTACCGCAGTTCCGGTCTCCTCGAGAGTTTCCCACAAGGACATTGAATGTTTCCTGAAGTCAAATTGCCTGATGAAATGGAGATCTAAACAAAGATAACGTAATGAGGAGTCAAGAGATGCTGTTTGAAACCCAAATGCTGCCTTAGCCAGATTTTCTGTCTAAAATAGGAATCAGTTATCAAGCTGTGGGTATCAAAAGTATCCATTTTATTCTCTAAAATTTTTTAAAAATTGTGATAATATTGATAAATGAAAGTCCTGTGTAAATTGTAATGTACCACGCAAATGTCATCATTGAGATTAAAAGGAGCCATTCGGCTGGTGTGGCTCAGAGGTTCAGCATCAACCCATGCACCAGGAGGTCACCAGTTCAATTCCCAGTCAAGGGCACATGCCCAGGTTGTGGGCTGATTCCCAGTGAGGGGCGTGCAGGAGGCGGCCAGTGGATGTTCTCGCTCATCAGTGTTTCTATCTCTTTCTCCCTCTCTCCTCCCTTCCTCTCTCCCTCTCTTCAATATCAATAAAGAAAAAAATAAAAATAAATAAAAAATTAAGAGATATTTGAACTTGGCCATATATTTTTCCTTGAAACGGATTTATTTATAGAAAAACAGCCTAAAATGAAAAACAAACTTGAAGTGGTCAATTAAGTCAACTATTTTAGCCTGGAATCCTACATAATCCTGCATAAAAAATATATGCAACTGACCTATAGATCAGCAATTTTCAACCAGTGTAAAATTGTTAAAACATGCAGTACCTGACTATTTAGTCAGGGGCACTGACCTCTTTTCCCTTAGATTGTCAAATAAAGAAATGACAACAGTCAACACATTACCCATCCACGGTGAATGAGTCAAAATTATACCTATCTTTTTGTCAGATAAACAAAAAATATATATTTTTGGCGTGCTACAGAATTTTAGTAATTAAATTATGTGCCATGAGATGAGAAAAGTTGAAAATTGTTGCTATAGATGGTTGAGGAATGAACAACTAATGGTTTTGAAAAGGGTAACTTTCCTTTTTCTATTGAATAAGTCATTGTAAAGGTATCTCTGACTTGGAGGAGTTTCTCATTCTATGTACCTCTTTATTTCAGAATGAAAAATTTCGAAACCAATGACTTAGCATTTTCTCCTAAGGAAAACTTTGGAGACAACAGTGGACTTGCTGCCTATGTGGCTAAAGCCATAGACCCCGCCATCAGCTGGGAGGATATTAAATGGCTGAGGGGGCTGACGTCACTGCCCATTGTTGCCAAAGGCATTTTGAGAGGTTTGTTTATTCTCCACTTGACTTCATACCGATTTTATGATCCTTTGTGGATGTGATCCTGATATTTTCAAGGGAAAATAATCAGTAAAAATTAACATGGAATTCGAAAGAGACATTGCATCTCTCAAGTCTCCCTTTTGATGTTCGTGAGTAAATAATTTCCTCATTCGTAGGTAATTCACTGAAGGAGAGTAGGACTCCCTTGAAGTAGGAAGTTGCCCATTTTAAAGCATTGGGATACTATTGCCTTTGTTTGGAGCTGTGACCAAATCCCAGAGCTTGGCAAGATCTAGGTAGAAGGTCTCGCGTTCGCTGGAAGCTGCAGCAGTTCCTCTCAGGCCCACGAGAAGCCCCAAGGCTGGTACCCTAATAACCAGACCTGTTTGAAGAGCCTCTTACTATTTTTCTCCTGTTGCTTCCAAGTACCAATGGCGAGGACTGATTTCAGAGTGTGGTGAATCCCGTATCTCCTCTAAAGAATGGTTGACTAGGACATTACAAGCTGTCGACATTAAGGAACTTGACTACTGCCCATGTACCCACATGTATTCAATCCCACAGGGAGTTACAGTGACTGTAATAATTTGGAGTGTAAATGTGTTCACCCTCAAAAATGTTTTCTTGCCTTTGAAAACATTTCTTTTAGTATGGTTAAACAAATAACTGCCAAAAACATATTATTTTAAATGGAGATGTTTAAGTAAGTGGCTCTGGGATGAGAGATTCTATCAATTTATCTCAGGCTTAACAATGACTTAGAATAAAAAACTTTTTATAGGTTTTCTTTTTTTTTTTTTTTTTGAATATGTGAGTCACATGACCCTATTTATAAAGCTTTAGGCACGCCACAAACTTTACTCTTTTAGTCGTTTGTATGCAGAAATGAAGCTAATAAAAGTGAAAGAATGGGCTTTCAAATAGAGATGTGTTTAAATTCAGATCTGTCCTAATCTGTGCTTTAAAAAAATATTGTTATACTCTTTCCTGTTGATCGTTGTTCTAGTCAGTCAATTTCTGAGAATTATACTTCAATGAGTATATCCTGGTCTTACAGACACTTTTAAACAAGCTTCACTTACTCCTATCCATATTGTCATGCACGATTGTTAGACCTACTTCCTGTAGCTACATTCAGTTTTAAGTCCTAAGAACGTTAACCTGAAGGTTCTGCCCCATCCATCCATCCATCCATCCATCCATCCATCCATCCACTTATTCATTCTCACAGTCATCACACAAACATTTATCGTACTTACTGTGTGCTAAAATAAAAAAGATAATAGTAATCTAAGGTCTTTGGCCAAAAGGAGACCACATTCTTGTAGGAGACAGACATATATAAACAAGAATTTGGGTGCAATAAGATGTTACAGAAGCTGAGTTAGAAATCTATACAGTATAAGGGTGGGTTTAAAAGTGTAGACAATTGCCCTGGCCAGTTTGGCTCTGTGGTAATAGTGTCGGTCTGCAGAACAAAGGGTCACATATTTGATTCTGGTCAAGGGCATGCAATTTTGATACCTGGCCCAGTGGGGGTCATGTGGGAGGCAACTAATCAATTCTCACATCGATGTTTCTTTCTCTCCCTCCCTTCCACTCTATCTAAAAGTCAATGGAAAAATATCCTCAGGTAAGGATAAAAAAAAGTGCAGAAAATTACAAGAGTGGATTAAGAAAGGTTTCATTTCAGAAAGAAAAATGATGACTGAGTTTTGCTATGACTCATAGATTGAAATAATGGCAAAATAAAGCAGGCATGAATAATAATTTATAAAACATGTAAACCATATCTGAGAATGTAGACTTTAGGGTGTTTGAGGACTGCTAAGGATCTTGATCATGGAAGCAACCCCACCAGATTAGCATTTTAGAAAAATCGCATGTTGTCCAATGGATCTGGTGGGTGGATGGATGTGGCAAACTTGGGGTCAGGGAGCACATTTAAGAAACTGTTATTGCTCAGCAAGAAATAACTAGCTGACCTGAGGGAACTAAGAGGGTGTAATTGAATTAGAAAATTAGTGTAGTTTCCAGCATTTAATACACTCTCATCACAGAGATGGCCTAGAGCAACCGGCTTGAAAACACCAAAAAAAAAAAAAAAATTTAGTACAGTCCCACATTTGGCCATGTAAAATAGGAAACAAATATAAGAATGAGGTTAATTTTTAAATGAACTTTTCAATTTAAGATTCCCCAATATATATCATCTTCTACAACTTTGTCTTGTGAGAGATGATGGTACTCTATTGTATTAGACTTTACTCTCATGTGTTATGTTAGAAAATATTTTGGCTTCTAGAACTTCATTCTTTGGTCACCTTACCTCAGACCATCACCTCATTTTTCTTTTCATCTATATGGATTGTGTGACTTGTTTCTATGTATTTTCAAAAATTTTTGCACACAGTAGATAGCCCAAATGTTTATTGAGTGAAGTCCTCAGTGAAAACTATGAGTCAATAAATTCGAGAGAACTCATAAGCAAGAGAAAAAGAGTTGAGACACTTGGCATCTGCAAGGAAATAACTTATTTATACATGTACAGTTTACACTGTCTAGTTTCTCTGTAACTATTTATTTCATTTATTTAACAAACAAGAATCGTTTCTATGACAACAACGTCACCGAGTCAGTGCATATGCTCCATCTGGGGATGAGGGAGGGGGTTCAGGGGGCAGTGCCCGTTCTGGGAAATCTCGTGCTCACTGTTTCACAGAGCTTCATCCAGAAGTCATGTGGATGAACTGCAAGCACTATCCTCTTTCAGTTTCCTTTTACCAGAAGGATGCAGATTGTGTTCACAGGCACATAAAGTCACAGGCAACTGGAAGGATATCAGTGAAACATTCCCCTTACCACGCTTTTAAGAACTGCATTTTAATGAAAGCAGATTGGGGAATAAGATGTAATCTCTTGCTGTGGTTAAACTCTGCTCTTTGAAAACTTCAATGCAAACTCCGGACATGTATGAGACAAGATTTGGTCTTCACCAAAACTCATGCTAATGAACAAATGGCTTTATAAGCAAAAGCATAATGCTTTTTAGAGCCTTTTTTTTAATTAAAAACTTTTTAAAACTAGGTTGTTTCACTTCCAGAGTGGCTTTTTATTTTGTAAAAATTGTTCTCTAGCTCTTTGCCTAGACGCAGTTTTTTCAAGACGCTCTCAAAGGACATTCACTCAAATGTTCCTGGAGTATGTTTCAAATGCTGCCATATATCTAGTATTTACTTATTAAACTCCTGTTAAGATAGCACAGAGGACTGGGTCAAAAGCTCCCAGGGCTTAACGGCAAATCTTGAGTATTTACATTTCACTTTGGTATTTTGGATTAAATACAGAAATAATGTATTAAGAAGACAGCAAACACTGCTATTCCCTACTGACTGCTGCATTCGTCAACCAACGAAGGTAATGACTGACAAATTAACAAATGTGAATGCCATGTTAGTGAGCTCTAAGGATTAATGAAAATATCAGAGATTCATGAACATTTTCCTAAATCAGAACATTTTGACCTTCTCAAGGCAGCATTGTTTTCTCTCGAGGTTAATGTAAAATGTAAAATTGTGGACAATGTTTCATAAGTCGCTAACAAAAGGGGCTCATGTCTGCTCACAAGTTATTCTTTCTTTCTTTGCTTCGCTAGACATTCATGATCCTATCTTCTGAGCAAACCATTTCCTACATTCCCAGCACTGCCTAGAAAAACATGGGAAATCACTTGAAATGGGAGAAGATAACAAACTGTTACTTAAGTAGCACTTACTTCAGATGAAAGGCTGTTTATAATCTTAATCCTTACTAGGATGAAAATTTTGTTGTTTTATTATAAATAAAACTCAAATGTGCCAAAGCAACCAGCAAATGAATTTTCCTGCACTTACCGATCTTATTAATTTATGCTCCCCACATCAGAGGAGGAGGAGGATGATAATAATAATAATAGCTAATATTTGTCTGATGTTACTCTAAATACTCATTTAACTAATTTACTTCACAAACCACTCTTTAGTGTATTATTGTCCCTATTTTATGGGTTAGGATACTGATGTACAAAGAAGTTAAGTAACTTGCCGCCTACATAACAAGCAGATATGGGAATCAAACCCATGTGGTCTGACTACTAAGTCTAAGCAGTTAATCACATTTTTATTCTGCACAGGGTCTGTTTATTGATAATATTTAATTTCTCCAAACACAGGTTGCAACTACATGGTTGCAGCCATCTGAATATAAATTGAAGGACAGCGTACATCCTTAATCATGGACTCAAAATATTAATGTTCATATATTTTGACTTTTCTTTCTTACTTTTGATTTAATGTTTGAGAATCATACACACCACCAGATAACCAGAGCAAACCACATGGATTCCAAAAATATTTTACTTTGTTTGTTAAGGTTATTTATGTATACACCTAGACTTTTAAAATTCTCTTTATTAAAACAGGTAAACTCAGGCAAGCATTAAAGCTGATCTAACACAACAGCGACTTGCCAAATGTCACAAAGTTAAATAAGATTAAATAAAAGTAAAATTCCAGTTCCTCAGTCGCACTGCCACAGTTCAGCTACTAATAGCCACGTGTGGCTGGTGGCCTGCGTGGCACTGGGCAGCCCTGGAACACTGGCATCATCAGAGCAAGTTCTGTTGGAGAGCACTCCATCAAGGGTGTATCTTTAGAGAACCATTTTCCAAACGTTTCAAATAATAGTGTATTGGGATTCTGGTTCAAAATGTTGGACTGACTACTTACGTAGTCTCTTATAAAATTTAAGATGTCCCTGAAATTAAGGTACAGAAATCCCAAAACACATAAGACTTATGACAGCAAAGCAAAGGAAGCAGAGGGGTTTCCTTTCTCTGCAGAGGAATTTCAAGAAATTTATGAAAGAAATAAAACGTAAGGGAGACTGTTGATAGGAGGAAAATGTAATGAAATAGTCCCTCAAGATAGGCTGGAGGGCACCCTGGAGGAGGCAGAGGCATTATGTAATGGAGTGCCTGAGAGGCTCTGTGTCTGATCTGAAAGTGTGACAGAGTTGGGGGATGGGAAGTGGGGACTGAAGGCCAGAGGTTTCACTGGAGTTCTGTTCAGGACACTCGGACACTCACGGCAGCTGGCAGTCCCGTTTCCCTCCCCTGCCTCTTGTGGGCAGCTTGACATAGTAGCTTGATCCTTACTAAGGAAATGGGTGGCTGGGCTCGCCTGTGAGCAGGGAACATTTACAATACGACATGATGCTGTCCTCATTCTGACACCTGAGGAATTCCTAGTCCAAGAGACCTTCCGTTAGCATTCCTTGATGAAAACATAAGCCAAATGAATGCGTGAACTTGACTACAAGAGATTCCACGCTGAGAGTGGAGGAGCAGTCCTGTAGGATGGAAGAGGGCCATAGGTAGAGTAATTGGAGCAGGATAGAGCAGGAAGGGCTCAGGGGGTGTCTTCAGAGGGAAAATAAGGTGATTTAAATAGGTTAGATAGAATAATTGAAAGGTTTGAAGAACTTGAGGATACTCTAAAGTCTCTTGATAAACTGAGAAAAAAAAGAAAAGAAAGGCTATTAGAAATCCAGGAAAAGAAAGATCTGTAATAAAACACATATGATCCAAATATACAGCAATATTAAAATGTAAAATACTATAAATCAATCATTCGGGTGGGGAAAAAGTCATCTTTCAATTTTGAGCTAGAGCCTTTTCCTGATGAGTGACTAAAAAATTGCCAGTAAGATCTCACAAGATGTAATGCATGCTTGGATTGAAACAGACAGCCAAAACAGTCTCATAGAAACATTAGATTTTATATTTAATATGAAATAAATACAGAATACCAATCATTTTTTGAGGATATAATTAAATGCATAAGAACTCAGGCTTACAGGTGAATAGATAACACACAAAGTAGTTGGTAAATACTGATATTGATATAACAGAACACCTTTCATACGATTTCATTGCATTTTAGGGTTTGTCATAGCACTACTTAAAGACGGATTCTGACAAAAGCAATGACATGATGACATGATGTCTTAGTCAGCTTTTCATTTTTATTTTGCAGTAACAAAATACTATAGACTGGGTGGCTGAAATGACAGAATGTATTTTCTTACAATTTAGGAGACTTGAAGTCTGAGGTTGGGGTTCCACTATGCTCATTCTCTGGTGCAGACACTTTCCTTGGGTCTCAGAGGCTACCTTTTCACTGTGTGCTCACATGGCCTCTTCTTTTTGAGGACATAGAGGGGTGGTGGGGACAAAGCTCTCTGGTACCTTCTTATGAGGGTACTAATACCATCATAAGGGCTCCACATGCATGACTTCATCTAACCTTAAATATTTCCCAAAGACTATCACATTGGAAGTTAGGGCAGCAACCTAAGGCTTTTGGGGGGACACAAACATTCAGCCCATAAAACATGAGTTTAATATTTTCATATACTGATAATTTTAGAAGAAATATAATACTGGCATAATTTTAAAATATGGAAATATTTAAAAACTAGTATTCCATGAAACACAGTTTGGAAATGGTGTTTCAGCATAAAATTTGAAAGCAATCAGAATTGCAGATTCTCCTATAAATCTTTTTTCTTCTTTTTTTTGTTATTATTGTTGTTAATCCTCAGCCAAGGATATTGATTTTTTTAGAGAGAGTGGAAAGGGGCCGGGGGAAGAGAGAGAAACATGATTGTGAGAGAGACACATTGATTGGTTGCCTTCTGCACATGCCCTGACTGGGGTCAGGGACCGAACCTGCAACCCAGGTATGTGTACTTGACTGGGAACCAAACCTGCAACCCTTTGGGCCAGTGCTCTAACCACTGATCACATTGAGCAGGGCTTTTAAAATTATTTTTTTAATCAGGTCTCCCCTTGATCAGTTTTATTGAATTAATAAATATGTACAATATTCTGTATCCATCTGCTAAAGTTTCCAAAATATAATTTTCATTACAATATTGAATCAACTATTTTTGTTAAACTTGAGAACTAGCATTACTTTCATTATTCTGTTAGCAAATGGTTTGTTATTGGGAACTTGCTGAGAATAATAGTTTAAAATATAAAATATATTTGGTCAGATTATGAAAACTGTAAGGGTATATGGTGTGCCCTCAAACTATAAGTAAATGTTATACTAGTTATAAAATACAGAGAAGTGAGACAAACAGTTAAACTTGGATCATGATAGCTTCTAGGTTAGAAATGATCCAGACTGTTTTTCTTAATGAAGGCCCTTGACTTGACTGCATCACATTTACCTGCATTTCACTTTTAATAAAAATTCAGCCTTTACTTCCATCCAAGGTTAAGGTCTTGTCCCATCCCCAGTGGTCCAATGCTCAGCAAGACAAATGCTGACACTAAGACTTCCTAGGAGTGAGTCTTCCTAGCACCATGGGACTACATTATCCAACCAAATGGTTGGTCATCAGTGTATCCTTTGGATTGATTTATGACCAAAAGGGGGAAGTGTGGACAAAAAGGGGCCACATACTAAACCTGACAAGCTCAGGGGAGGCCTGCATGGTGGCCTTACAAACTCAGCGACCCAAGTAACCACACAGGAAGGTCTGAAATTAAACTTCTTAACTAAAAGCAGGTCATGGCAGTTTGTCATGACTTAGGCAGGTATCTTCCTTGACAAAGGTCAATTTTCACCTTAACTGAGCCTGTCTATTGTCTTTTTGCATCTAAGATAACATGCCTTTGGAATGTCAGGGTGATTTGCTTTTTCTAGACCTCTCTGGGCACAATCACTGCACCAGAGCAGGAGACCACAGAACCAAACCCTCAATTGTTAGCTTGTTCCTTGTTAACTGTGAACTATCCTATACCCACCAATGTAAAACAAGTATGTGTCTATTTGTTTTACCTTTTTTTTTTTTTAATTCTCATCCAAGGATATTTTTCTATTTATCTTCAAATAGACTGGGGGGTGGGGGGGGGAGAGAGGGAAAGAAAGAAGAAGAGAGAGAGAAACATTGATGTGAGAGGGACACATTGACTGGTTGCCTCCCGTACAACCCCCACCAGGACTGGGATGAACCACAACCAAAGTATATGCCATTGGTCAAAATCAAACCCGTGACTCATTGGTTCAAAGGCCAATACTCTACCACTGAGCCAAACCAACCAGGGCTTTGTTTTACTTTTTATCTAATTCTAGAGATTTCCCCTGTTTTGCTTTCTCCCGCCTCCTTAGTCTGTCACCAGTGGATTTCATATAACACCTTATGTCTTCTCCTTTGATTTTAATGTGTAAAATAAGGTACAAGACTGTAAAAAAAAAAAATGTTGGAAATTGATTTTGGAAACTAATTTAAGAGAATGTTAATCTCTTTTAAAACTATATTTTTTATAAATCAATGTATTTTGAAGCCTAATTAGAGGCATAGCATATAATTTTAATATTAGGTTTTGAGAGACACATTGATTGGTTGCCTTTCACACATGCCCTGCCCAGGGTCAGGGATCGAACTTTTATATACGTCAATGGGCAAAATACATTTAATTATAAAACAATATAAATTAAAATAATTGCTGAAGTTATAACTGTGTATTAAAGAATGTTTTTGAATTAGACTTGTTCATTACTTGTTATACTGAAAGTAGTTGCCACTTATATATTCATTTATGCTATCTAAATTGTAGAGGAGTAATTCTGCCCACTGCTAAATGGTGTGATCTTATTAATAACAAAACATACTTATCAGGAGTACTTAGAGGATAAGTAATTTAAGTGCATGTCAATTTACTATCCATTAATAGTTTTATTTTATAATTAAATTGTTATAATTGCTATCTCTTTTTTTTGACCAAGATAGATTTTGCTATTCTAGATCTAACCCTTGGATGTATTTCTGTGCTAAGTGTTCTTAGTAAGGTATATATGTATGAGGTCAGGTTCCCTTGAACTGGAATGCTTCAATCTGTAAACCCAAGTCTCTGTTAAGTAGTCTTTTCTGATGATGGCTGTCTTGCTTTTTTTAGGAGATGATGCCAGGGAGGCAGTCAAACATGGTTTGGATGGAATCTTGGTGTCGAATCATGGGGCTCGACAACTCGATGGCGTGCCCGCCACTGTGAGTTGCGGACTTCTCATTTTGACTACAGTTTTGATTATCTCTGTGTCTGCCTCTTCACTGTGTATGTTTTTGTGTGAATATTCAAGGTAAAATATATGTGAATAAATGAGATCTCAGATTTTAAGTTTAGTATCATATAATTACCTAACTCAAATCAATAATTAATCATTTCTGGGCAGAGATTATTGCATTCATAGGCATACCAATAGGTATAACGTAAATGGAGGTATGAAAGAATTGATTAGACCATTCAAGTAAGTCCAAAGAAGAGGAGCTAACAGACAGTTGCAATAATTGCAAAAGACTTTGGTGGAGTTTGAGATCTTGTGTGTCTGCAACAAGAAGTCAGAAGGAGAGAAAGACTGCCACTTCCTTTGGGTGTGGGAGCTGAAGGCTGTAGAGAGATGGCAGATGGTGGGAAAGGAGATGGACATCCTATAGCCCCATGAGGGGAGGAAGGCCAAATGATTGCATCAGAATCTCTAGGGGTGTGGGGCAGAGGTACCAGTAATTGTTAAAGCCACCCAGGAGATTACAATGTACATCTATGGTTTTTATACACTGTACACACTGTGCTTGGCAAATTAGAGTCCAAAATCTAGATGTAAAAGTAAACCAAACTGCCTGGAAAAGTGTGGTACTAAGTTAAAACTATAAAGGAAAGTAATTAGCCCCAAGACCTACAGAGGCACTGGGGCAGATTTTGAGATCAAGGATTAGGGGCCCAGAAATAGATCGAAAGTCATGGAGACAAGACACATATCATGGAATGAATTTCATGGATCCATAATTCAGAATGGGGGCGGGGGGTAAGGTATTAAAAAGTAGTTCTCATCCATGCTGTCCGCTTGTGGAGACTTGGCCACAGTTCTTCTGGACAAGGCAATGGTTTTGCCTTTGCCTTTCACCTCTGCTCTGTTTTTAGATGTGTGAACCTGAATGTGGAATGGGAAAAAAATGGGATGTGTTTGGATAATTCCAAGTAATCCATTTTGTTTACTGTGTCTGGTTGGGGTGGGGGGAATCCTGGGGACTATGCCTTCCTAGACAGGTAAGGAAGAGGTTCTTGAATATGATGAGTCATTGGGTATACAACAGAAGCGCCTCGATTTAGCAGCAGTGAAACTTATAAATTGGACTTTGGCATGACAGGAGGCAGGAGGACCAGCTGGTGGCCTGGATCACCATGCTAGCCAACGAAAGAGAGAAAAGCCTGAACTTCGCCGGGGTGGAGGGAAACAATTTCCACTTCAAATCTTGTTTTTCCCATCTTTTAAAGTTTAAACATCATTACATTATTTCTTTGGTGCCTTTAAACGTCAACATCCTAGAATCCAATTCATTATAGGCAATGTACGCTAGCATCACAGAACAAGACTGAAAACATATATTTACCTAACAATGTGGATGAATTTTCCAGACCACCATCTCTGAACTGGAATATCATATATATTTCCCCCTTTTATTAAAATCATTATGTCATAGTTATTATAATGAATAGCTTTAATTGGAATGACAAGTTGAGTTGATTCAAGCAACTGGAAGTAGATTAGAACACATGATTTAGTCAAGTAGTAGTGGACTCTTGTTTTACTGAACTAGAAAATTGATTTAGCGAAATCCATAGACAGCTGTGTAGGTCGCAGAGCAGACTAAGTGACTACAAGGGGATATCGGATACAAATATCTGTACTCAGAGTTTTTCCTAAGCACTAATGGTAGGAATGAACCAAGTCTTTGCACACTGTAGGATTACATTGTCAAGAATTTAAATCATACAACTGGAAGTTTTCAGCCCTTTTTCAATTCAGCCTTACTTATAGAGACCCATATTTTTAGGTGTTATTAGACGTTGCCTGCAGGTAAATAGAGGTGGAGAGTGAAGCACCTCTTCTGGGCAGGGAGAAAAAGTTGGTCACAGCTCCTGGGTTTTTTTTTTTGCAGATTTATGCCTCTCTTATGTATGAAGACACAGACTTAGTGTGCGGGCCAAATTAAGTTTGTTTTAAAAAAATAAAATCTAAATCTACTGAAATGAAATCTAACTAGATTTTAAGGGAAAAAAATCTAAATGGTGTGGTTTATTTCACTCTGGCTGAGAGGATATGGAAACTTATCTAAAAGGGCTTTTTGAGCTGTGGTCTCGGAGACTTTTAAGAAAAACAATGACCCTCCCCTTTGCATGCTGCGTGCAAGAGAGGAGATGCTTGCTTGAGTTTTGCCTCATATTTTAGAGTAAATTTAAGGTCCACGATGGTGAGAGAAATATGAGAAAGGATTCGGTTTATATGGAGATGTTTTCCCTTCAGTATGTGGGTTTTGAGGTAAGTGGCAAAATGCTTGAAGGAGGCTGTGGTGTAAAATGTTTCAGTAGATACACGGAAGGACTTGCTGTCCTGCAGATTCTGTGACATCATAAGTCAGAGCCAAAGAGGCAGAGTGATATCATGGGAGGAGCATTGAAATGGGAGTCCAGAGACTTAGGTTCAAGTCCTTGTCTTGCCTCTTCTAAGGGCTAAGACCTGGGTGAGCAAGTTGCTTAAACTTTTTAGTCTGAGCTTTATCATAGTATTGTGTTGATTGCAAAACCAGAGCAGCTGGACTATATGATTTGTACATTTCTATAAATCACAGAGTTCCCTTGGATGGGGAAATACTTATCACTAGGAATCTTACTTCAGCTCATCTTAATACTACTTGAGAACCATGGTCAGACCTCTGCTATACCCAAAAAGAGTTAAAAATTAAGCTCATGTCAAGGTCCCTATCTTCAAGGTAATAATGTGACCAAGATTGATCTTGAAGGAATGAGAGAACATGACAGAATCAAATTTATTTCCAAAATTCATAGCACTGAACATCTCAAATTGGGATCTAAAGACAGATTTTTCTGGAGCCATTCAACCATAGCAGAATTTTTTTATTTTATTTTTGTTTTGATGCTAATTGGACCCAAACTAACTTAAGCTTAAAAAACATGCTATTCTTTTTCAGTGAAAATTCCTACCTGTAGAACATTATCATAAAATAAGTATGTGGGTAGTTAAGTCAAATGTTTACAAAATTGAAACACTTGCGCATCTTCTATAAGATCTGAGATATTTTATTTTTCTTTTAAAAGAGATTCATACAATTCTATCTCTGAGAAACACGTGATGTATCAGTTAGCTTTTGCTGTGTAACAAACCACTCTGAAAGTTGCTGGCCAAAATTCAATAGTCATTTACTTATGTCACAAATTTGTGAGTTGGCAATTTGACCTGAGATCGACTAGAAGGCTTCTCTGGTCTTGGTTGGGCTCACTCATATGCATCTGTGGTGAGCTGCCGGATCTACTTGGACAGGCTGGTGTAGGTTGACCTCAGCAGGGTTAGCTCTGCATTGTCTCACACCTTGCACATTAGTCGGGCTGGTTCTCACGAGGTGGCAGATTTCCTAGAGAGTACCGTATGTGCAAGTATGCAAGACCTCTTGGGGTCTAGGACATTGTCGCTTTTCTCACAGTCTGTTGGTCAGAACAGCTAGCTGAGATTCAAGGGTGAGGAAATAGACTCTTCTGGTCACATTTTCCCCCGGAGGACCTGAAATGTCACATTCCAAGAAAATGAAGACAAGAAGGGAAAGAATCTTGTCCATTTTTGCAGTTGCAGACAATCAGGCTTGCCTCTGTGGGCCAATGATTTTCTAAGTGGGCTTAGTAGAAACTCCCCAGGGATGCCTGGTGAAGAGTGATGGGTAGAACAGAGAGTCAGGGAAGGATTGATGGGCAGTGGCCTGGACTCTGTCTCCTTTGCTTTTACCTAAAGCAACTCTGGTTTTATCTGCTTTTGTTTATGTTCAATTACTTTGGTTTGAGACATTCAAAGGGTTTCATGCCTAAAATGTTAGAAATTAGGAATGTAACAATGGTAGCTATAGGAAGGCGGAAAGGTGAGAGCTCCCTGTGAGTGGAAGTTTGGAGGACAGGGAGCCTACTGGAAGAGTGTGACGTGAGCAGGGATGGGAAAGAGGAGTCTGTGAATTGGATCCATGTGGGATCTTTTAAACCACCTGCCATAAGGACTTGAATATACCAGGTCCTCAATAAAGTGTTTGATAAGTTGATGAATGGATGGGTGAATGAGCAATAGAATATTTGGATCTTACCATATTTTCTGTATATTAACCCCACTGGAGTTAAGCCCACAACTAGTTGTCTAAAGAACCACTAGGGAATGAAAAGCTGAAATGAATGGTTTCTTAGATAGGTAGCAAGCTGAAAGGAAGGAAACATAACAGAATCATAAAATACTGGATTTGTCTACTGTATTTATTTATTTATTTATTTATTTATTTATTTAATCTCCTCTGATCAGAATTATTCTCTGAAATACACACCCAGTAAATCTGCAGTAAAGGAAGAAGGGAAAAAAAAGTGTGGAAGGACAGAAATCCTTAGGAAAGGATAGAACATCCTTGTCCACACAGGAAACACCAATCTGGGTTCTGTTTTATAATCCAGGATTCACATTTAATGTATCCTTAACAGTTTCCTTTAAAGCCAGCTTGGGCATTGGTAACAACCTAAAGAGACTTGATTTGCATGGCTTTGAAAATGTGTATTGAACCCAAGCTAGCTAATATTTTTCTTTGGTTCTGGTTTCAAATGGGGAAATATGCTTAATTATAGCTTGCATCATCCCTTGGAAATTGTAGCATTTATATGTTGATGTAACTTGCCTGACTGTAAAAGGAGGACTATGTATAGGTAAAGGGGCATATGTAAATGGATCCAAAGCATGTTTGGCAGGGCAGAAAAGCCAAAAAGAAAAAAGGGGAAAATCACGTTACTTGCCAAACATTTAGGGGCCGTATGCCAAATGTTGCCTTCACTTCCTTCAAATCTGTTGCTGGGTTTGGTCTCCAGCCTTTTACATAAAACTCTTTTTAAGTTTAGCCTCTAAAATTTTAGGGGAGAAGTGGGAAAACCTTTGAGTGATTTCAGCACAATTATTTCAAGAAAAACTGCGCTTGAATGTATGGTAGCTTTAGAGTATGCATTTAAAATAGGGATTGGATTTAATTTTAGATTTAAATATATTGCTATGAATGTGAGTAATTTCTATAGATTTTGACCTACAGGTCACTTTGAGAATTGCTTTCATTCCCAAGTGCAAAGATTTACATCAAAGTAGCTTACCGTATCAGCTATTAACTATTAACTATATTGGCTATTAGCCAACTATATTCACTCTTGCCACATGATACTATAAAACAGATTTCAAACTCAGTGATTTAAATCAACAGTAATTTATTCCCATGAAACTCTGTGTGAACTGGAGGGCTGCTGATACGGACTTGGTACTGGCTAGGTGGCTGTGCTCCCAGTTTCTGGTCCAGCTGGGCTTGGCTGGGCTGGCTCAGCTTCCTGAATGTTTATCCTGGGGCCCAGCTGAAGGGAAGGCATTGCCCCGGGGGATGCTCCTCTCATGGCAAATGGCACAGGTGCAAGAGAAAGTTGAGACTCACAAGGTTGTTTAAGGCCTACGCCCAGAAATGACACTCTATCACCTCTGCTCACAGGTTATTGGCCAACGCCAAAGCCAATGTCAAGGAATGGGCAAGTGCACCTTTTTTTTAAATTGGGAAACTGCAAAGTGGGTTCAGAGTGGTGTAAAGGATCAGGAACAATGCTTTAATTTACCAGATCAACTTCTGTGAGGATCTTGTGTTCTCTAGTGATGATATAAGCCCATATGAATTGCCAATCAAGCAGAGGACCTTCAAGGTGCATATGGTCATATTCCTTTAAACAGTGGCTCTCGCCCTCGCCAGTTTGGCTCAGCAGTTAGAGCGTCGGCCTGTGGTCCAGAGAGACCCGGGTTCAGTTTCTGCTAAGGGCGTGTACCTTGGTTGCAGTTTGTCCCCGGACCTGGTTGGTCATGTGGGTGGCAGGCACTCGAAGTGTCTCTTTCACATCGACGTTTCTCTCTTTTTCTCTCTCTCCCTCCCATTCTAGAACAAAAAATAGAAAAATGTCCTTGGGTGAGGATAAAAAAGAAAATTAAACAGCGGCTCTCAACCTGTGGGTTGCAACCTTTTTGGGGGTCAAGCAACCCTTTCACAGGGGTCACCTAAGACATAACAGTAACAAAATTACAGTTATGAAGTAGCAACGAAAATAACTTTATGATTGGGGGTCACCACAACATGAGGAACTGTATTAAAGGGTCGCGACATTAGGAAGGTTGAGAACCACTGAAAAGCAAGAAAAATATTTTCATTGAGAATTCTCTAATGTACAGCTGGAGGCAAAGTATGTTGGATAGGGAAATCAGAGACTAAGATTTCCAACTAGTCATGTTTGCAGTTTTATACACCACTACTTCTACTACCATCTAAAAATGAATTTTAACAACTGATTTTCAATGTGTAATAATATTCAGAATTATTTATGTGAGCAAAATACTTTATTTACTTTTTCTATTTTGTAAAGAATAGCTATAAAAGGACATTAAGTGTTTTAAAATTGGGTTTATATTGTTAAAAATCATACTCTTTGGCCCAGGTCAGGTAGTTCCGTTGGTTAGAACATTGTCCCCATATGCCAAGGTTGCGGATTTGATACCTGGTCAGGGCACATACATGAATCAACCAATGAATCCATGAATAAGTGGAACAACAAATCGATCTCTCTCTCTCTCTTTCTCTCTCTCTCTCTCTCTCTCTCTCTCTCTCTCTCTCTCAGATAAATAAAAATAAAATAAAATCATGCCTTGGCCGGTTTGGCTCAGCGGTTAGAGCGTCGACCTGCGGTCCTGAGAGACCCGGGTTCAGTTCCCGCTAAGGGCACGTACCTCGGTTGCAGTTTGTCCCTGGCCCTGGTCGGTCGTGCGAGTGGCAACCACTCGATGTGTCCCTTTCACATCGATGTTTCTCTCTCTCTTTCTGTTCCTCTCTCTCCCTCCCACTCTACCTGAACAAAAAATGGAAAAATGTCCTCCGGTGAGGATAAAAAATAAAATTAAAAAATAAATAAAAAATCAAATCATGATCTTTGAATTTGAGTATCAGGAACAGAAAAAATATTGGAGACTCTGAAAGAAAAATAAGTCATTCGGCTCCAAATTTTGTTTCATTAGTTATTGTGCGTTTGTTTGTTTTTCAGTTACTAGCATTTGCACCTCTTTTATTTCAGGAGGGATTTACTGTTGATTTCACGTCTACTTAGCTTCTTGTACTCTGAGCCCTAGTCAGATGGTCAGGGGCCTGTGCAGGTTGAGTGGTGTAATGATTCATCATGCAGAGTGTTGTCATGCTATTGACCTTTTCTTTCTACAGATAGATGCTCTGCCAGAAATTGTGGAGGCTGTGGAAGGCAAGGTGGAAGTCTTCCTGGATGGCGGTGTTCGGAAAGGCACCGATGTTCTGAAAGCTCTGGCCCTGGGAGCCAAGGCTGTGTTTGTGGGGAGACCAGTCATTTGGGGCTTGGCTTCCCAGGTAATTGGAGCACACATTTATAAATACATAAAACAGGAAAACTCGACAGTGAAATAAAGACATAAAACAAGCCAGAATAACCTACACAAAAGATTTGTATTTTTTACTTCCTTAGGGAGAGAAAGGGGTTCAAGATGTCCTTGAGATACTTAAGGAAGAATTCCGGCTGGCCATGGCTCTGAGTGGTAAGACTGGTCTTTGCAATTTACAACTTTCTTTTCTCCCGCTGGTCATTAAGCAAGGCCCTTGGTGGGGAGATGTGGATTTGAGAAGGAAGAAGATAGAATTATTTGGGGGTGTAATTAAATTTAAGTTGGTTCCATAGTTACATCTCCAGGGCAGAGCACCCTCTGAACAGAGGAACTACCTTGTGCATGGTCTGTAACATTCATTTGGCCTCGATCTTTGAAAGTCTTATCAGGATATTTTGGTAATGATGAGTAGCTTAAGGGTGAATGCTGCCCTGGCTGGTTTGGCTCAGCGGTTAGAGCGTTGGCCCGTGGACTAGAGAGGCCCGGGTTCAGTTCCCACTAAGGGCACGTACCTCGGCTGCAGTTTGTCCCCGGCCTCGGCTGGGGTCGTGTGGGTGGCAACCACTTGATGTGTGTCTCTCTCTCTCTCTTACTCCCTCTCTCCCTCCTGCTCTGTCTGAAGATAAAAGCAAAAAAAAAAAAAGCGTGAATGGTACATTGTGCTCTTCCTCATCTCATAACACATGGACAATAAATGTAACTGGTTAGTCAACACCTCTACCTGGATGTCTAACTGGCATCTTAGACTCTCCTTGTTCAAGACTACACTGCCAACTTTTCCTATTAAACCTGCTTCACCCGCAGACTCTCCAATCTCAGTTCCTGTCAATGCCATTGTATCACATCAATGTGCTCAGATCACAAACCTTGAGTCATTCTCGACTTCTCTTTTTCCTCAAAGCGTTACATCCACAGAGGTTCTATCTGCAAACTGTAATCAGAATCTGACCTCACCTAACACCTCTGTGGACATCACTCTGGCAGGAGCCAACACCATCTCTCTTCACCTTGGATCTTGTGACAGTCCCTCCGTGTGCCCTTCCCATCATCTCTCTTCTCTTGGGAATTATAGGTCTGTCTGTCTATCCTTGCCTACCTCCTCTTTCCAATCGATTTTGATCACAGTAGTCAGCATGATCTTTTACACATTATTTCAGTTCCTGTCACTCTTCTGATCAGAATCCGCAAACGGTTCTAGGTTTTTTCAGAGTAAATGCCACAGTGCTTACAGTGGTATACAAGGCTCTGTGTGGTTTGACCTCTGTCACCCCTCAGACCTCAACTCCTGCTACTGCCACGGTGGCTTTTTCTGCCTACCCTTCGTTTATTTCCCTGCTGTTCCTTGGCTATGCCAGACATGATTCAGCCCAGATATCTACATGGCTAACTCCCTCACATCCTTCAAGTCACACTAACATTGTACTTTCTCAAAGGGTTCCGTCCTGACCACCCTATTGAAAATGGCCATTTGCTCTACACCCACCCACTCAACTTCCATTTTTCTTTTCCTATTATTATTTCATTATTTTAGCATAGCACCTATCACCTTCCATAGATCATCTATCATATGACTTGTTTTTAAATTATTTGCATTATGTATTATCTCTTTCCTCTCTAGAAAGTAAGAGGCACAAAGTAGCGACCTTTGTCTGTTGTCTTCACTGCAGTGTTCCTAGGGTCTAGAGTAGTGCCTGGCACATAAACAATATTTGCAGAATGAATGAACAAATAAATAAGCACCATTATTACTAGTAATTGTTTTGAATTTGACTCAGATGGACTTCTAGATGCAAAGAATGACCTTGAGTTAATTATCAACTTCCCAATTTTGAAGGTAATGAGGGTTTCCTTTTCTGTGATCCATGTCACCCAGGTTGTCCCCATAAATAGAATTCCCAAGATCAGTGGTCTGCTCACTTCTGTGCTAAGCCTCTGTGGACACAGCTTCAATGAGAAGACCATTCTGTGAATCCTCACTACGCATTTTAATTTGCTACAGACAAATCCTAAAAGAGAGCTTTCAGCCACCGACTCTTTATTAAATGTGGCAGAAAGAATATACTCTTTGTGTTAATAAAAATATGTGCCAGTCATTTTGTGTTAAGGACTGTTTAGGTAATAAAAATGGTCTCATGCCACATAAGATTTGGCAAGGCTACCTTGAATCATAAACCTTACATTTGTCAAGTTTTACATTCCTTGGGAAAACGATTACCTGCCTGATTATTATTGCATTCATTTCATATTAAATGTATGCATTATTTTTTCAGGGTGCCAGAATGTGAAAGTCATCGACAAGACATTGGTGAGGAAAAATCTTTTGGCCCTTTCCAAGATCTGACAGTGCACAATATTTTCCCATCTGTATTATTTTTTTCCAGCATGTATTACTTGACAAAGAGACACTGTGCAGAGGGTGACCACAGTCTGTAATTCCCCACTTCGATACAAAGGGTGTCGTTCTTCTCCAACAAAATAGCAATCCCTTTTAGTTCATTGCTTTTGACTTTTCAATGGGTGTCCTAGGAACCTTTTAGAGAGAAATGGACTTGCATCCTGGAAATATATTAACTGTTAAAAAGAAAACATTGAAAATGTGTTTAGACAACGTCATCCCTTGGCAGGCTAAAGTGCTGAAAAACAAAAGATATCCTTTGGTAAAATCGGAGGTAGCAATGCTGAGGTGAAAAGATTATGGTCTCATTGTTTATTGACCTGCATTGTCCTGAGATCCTCGAAACAGTGTTCTTAAATGGTAAGCTCGGGCTCAAAAGGTTCAACATACCTGGCAACATGGGAGACTCGGATCTGCATCACTGAGGAGGTAGCACTTATATAATTGGGATGAGTTGCTGGTAATTTGTGATTTTTCTAGATACTTTTTAATACCCTGAGCTATGCTATCTCCTTGAATGTAGATTTCCATTCACATCTTTAGTGTCTGAATATATCTAAATATTTTGTGATATATATTGCTTTTTAATCAGAAAGTAATAAAGTGTTATTTGGAAAAGAATATATCTGGTTTATTTGCAACAATATGGAATTCAACCATTTTAATTTCTGAATGCTAATTAGCTCCCTGTGCCCCAGGCATACCCCATTATTTCTCATACCTTCTAGTTCCTCTTCTTTATTCTGTTTGCTTTTTTCCATTCATAGCACTGCCCAGAGCCAGCTATATTATTTGTGAAGATCATTCCCAATAAAAATGTCAGCCCCTTGTTCCAAAAACAGGGAAAAAAAACTTTTTTTCTTTTTTCCACCATATTTTCTCTTAACCTGTCATGGTATGTTTTATTTGCTATTCAGTGTCACGTTTCCTTGGCTCAGGGACACTCACAGGGCAAGTGCAGACCCTCACAGGTGCCTGGGACACCATCCTGTGACCTGCCCCCACTCTTCTGTGTCCAGGTTCAGGACCCTTGGGTGGAGGACAGCCTTGTCACTGGGTGGGCAGGTGAGCCAGCAGGTAAGGATTCATTCAGGGGAGGTGGGGAGATGGCCAGCGATGAGACAACAGGTGATTCTAGACTCCAAGCATGTCTCTTTGGCCTTTTGTCATAAAACATGAACTCAATGATGACGTTGTTAAGAATTTTAAGACGACAACATCCCCAGAACATTAAACCCAGGCATGAGGCCGCCCTCTGAGTGTGGAGTCCTGTGCACTGGTTGCATGCCCACGGAGCCCTGGTAGGTGAACTTGGTAGCTAGTGTAATTTTGGAATTGATTTTTCACCATCTCCCTGGTTGTTCAACCACTGTGAAGTTTTGAGTGAAACAAATGAGAAAAACACTGCCTTAAAATAAAATTGTTTTATTATTAAGGATCTCTCTCTCTCTCCCTCTCCTTCCTTTTCTCCCTCCCTTTCTCTTTCTTTAAATACTAAGTATTTTGTAAATACTATGATGGACACAGACATTGATTTTTTGTTCTGAAATTATATTAATATCTGATAAAGAAGAATCGCTTAACCTTCTAAAAAGGAATAGTTATCACTTCGTGTTTTGTCCAAATACAAAGAAAGAATATTAGTCATATCATGTAAGTGTTTTATGTTTTTTGAATTAATATTAATAGGTATGTAATAAGCACCTCTGATTTTCCCCAACTGACTTAGAAATGACTTTTCTGTTGGAAAAGAACCGCCTCTCTGGTTACACTATAGTATGTAGTTGGATGGTGACTTGCTAAAAACTTGGTAACTCCTCACAGCGAATGGAGATCCACACATGGTGTTTTCAGTAAATGTTGCATGAGCATGGGGATCAGTGGTCTGAATTTGTGAATTCCTAGATTCTTTTATGACCTTTAGGGCCATGCTCCCTCCTTTTTTCTTCAGAGTTGCAAATAATGGAATACTTGATGATCTGCATTGTTTCCATAATTGAAAACACGGAAAGTTGTTTTTTTAGTGTTTCCCACCCAGTTGTAACAATACTAAATTCAAAGCTATCTGATAGCTGAGACAGGAATGGGTATGTTTGTTGCACATAATTTCTGGAGATTTTGTTACTTGAAGTTGATATAAATGCTTCGAGGAAGCCAATTGTCTTTCCTGTATTTGAGTTTCTTGAAATATGTCGGGGGAGGGTTAGTGGGGACTAGACAGTTAGTACAGGCCAAGTCTGCTTTTCTTGTGTGTTGTTTAATGTGTATAATACTCCAGAGTAGTGTTTCTCAGACTGTAGATGCATCATAGTCACTGGGGGGCTTGTTAAAGCAGATTTCTGGGCCCCCTCCCAAAGATTCTGAGTGAACAGGTGTGGAGTGGCGCCTAAAAGTCTGCGTTTCTAACATGATCCCAGGGGAGGCTGATGCTGTTTGTCTGGGCATCACACTTTTTTTTTTCTTTATTGATTTTTAGAGAGAGAGAGAGAGAGAGAGAGAGAGAAGCAGTGATGAGGGAGAACATCATTTGGCCGCCTCCTGCTTGCCCCCCACTGGAGATTTGGCCCACAACCTGGGCACGTGCCCTGAATGGGAATTGAACCAGCGACCTCTTAGTGCATGGGTTGATGCTCAACCACTGAGACACACTGGCCGGGATGAGCATCACACTTTGAGAGCAACTGGTCTAGTCTACAGGAAAGAGCATTAGGTCAGATTTGCTAGTAATGAATGATAGAAACAATCCCTGAAAGTATAAAAGGCTGTGGTCCATTGACATAATGGAATACTATTCAGCTGAAAAAAGGAAGGAAATCTCACCTTTTGTGACAGCATGGATGGAACTGGAGAGTATTATGCTAAGTGAAGTAAGCCAGTTGAAAAAGACAAATACCATATGATTTCATTCACATGTGGAATCTAATGAACAAAATAAACAAACAAAATAGAAACAGACTCATAGATATAGACTCATAGATACAGGAAACAGACTGACAGCTGTTAGAGGGGAGGGGCATTGGGAAGCTGGGTGAAAAAGGTGAGGGGATTAAGCAAAAAACCAACAAACAGCCGGGCTGGTGTGGCTCAGTGATTGAGTGTCAACCCATGAACCAAGAGGTTGCCGGTTTAATTCCCGGTCAGGGCACATGCCCAGATTGTGGGCCAGATCCCCAATGGGGGCATGCAGGAGGCAGCAATCAATGTTCTCTCTCATCAATGTTTCTATCTCTTTTCTACTCTTTTCCTCTCTTTCTAAAATCAATAAAGAAAACAAACAAACAAACAAACAACCTCATAGACACAGATAACAGTATGATGATTACCAGAGGGGAAGGGGTGAGGCAGGTACAAGAGCGTAAAGGGGGGGATAGTGCTGGAAGGGGACTTGACTTTGGGCGGTAAACACACAATACAATATAAAAATGAGGTATTATAGAACTATATGCTTGTAACCTATGTACTTTTATTAACCAATGTCACCCCAATAAATCCAATACAAATTTTATAAAATGTTAGATTTGCTAAGCAGATCACCTAATGAGCTGACTATTGGGTGTGAAACATGCCTCACCTACAAAAGCCAACTTTTCTTTAACCAATTATTTTCATTAAGTTTTATTTCTCGTTGAGGTATAAACTGCCTACAGTGAGGTGTGTAAAGTGCTCAAACCTAAGTGCATGGGTGGGTACATTTTACATATGCACCCATGTAACCCCACCACCTAGATCAAGGTCTAGAACATCTCCATCATCCCCCAAAGGAATCCCTCTACCAGAAGTAAACTTTGGCTAACTTAACTCTGCCACTTATTAGTTTAGGCTATTTTTGAACCATCAGAGTATGTATTTTTAGTTTTGGCTTCTTTTGCATAATGTATGCGAAGTCCATTCACGTTTTTTAGTATATTAGTAGTTAGTTCTGTTTATTGATTTGTACTAATTTACTGTATGACTATACCACACTTTATCTATACATTCTCCTATTGTTATATGTTTGAATTGTTTGCAGAAGCCAATTTCAACAAATGTTTGTGAAAATGCAATTCACGTTATGTTCTTATTTTCCAGACAAGCTAGTAGGCATTTATATTGTTAATTAAAGATTTTCAATGTTGGAGAATAACATTTTGAACTCTGAGCAGGTAATGTTAAACCGGTTGTTGCCCATGTCTGGCCCATGAGTCACAAGTTCCCAAGCCTGTAACATCTTATCCTCACAGATGTCTCTCTCATGGCTAAAATCACTCTTACGCGAGTATACAGACGCATGCCTGGGACATGTAGCAGTGATGGGTGCCTGCCAACAGAAATCTTTTGTTGAAGTTTGCTTATATTCTGTTAACTGGAAGAATGTGGGTGTGAAATAAACTTCCTTCTCTCCACCAGGTTTGGGGAGCCCAGGTTCCCAGGCCTGTAGGAATGAATTGAGCGGTATTGATGCTTCTTAGCATAAAGTTGGCAAACTGCATTGTGTCACTGCTGTGTTATTCATTCATTTGTTTATCTTGCCAAAACATTAGCATTTGCAAAACAGCTTTAGAGGGCTGTGGTGGTTAGTATAACATGAAAGGAAGTTGTGGCTTGTTCTCAAACAAAGAGAAAATAGTTTTTATTGCAAAATTTATAATTTATTTACTGTCTGATTGGCTGTATTGCATTTTGGTTGCATAGCAACAAAACAGTTTGTCTGTTTAGGAAAGTCTGAAAGTTTCTTACAACGTAAAGATAGAAGATGCTTTCTGAACTTCTGTTTGCTTCCATGTGTACTCTATCACATGCCAATTATAGATGACACCAGGATGAGAGTTTATTTTGGGTAATGCAAATGTTAACCCAAATGGTAGAGGCTATTATTATATACTGATCGGATGGAAACTCTTATCTGTTTTAAAAGATGCAATTTCCTGTCCTTATCCAAATCTAACTTGAGCAACAGTTATCTTCTTTCCTCCCTAATGTGGTTTCCCAGAGTTTGTTGAAGAAATAAAGAATGCTTATTTTTATTGTTCTTAGTTTCTCTACTGAAATTTTTCTG